AACATGCAGGGAGTAGGGATTAATGAGTGGGCCCACATAAGCTACTGTTGCCTCGGAGGGATTAGGGCGTGAGTGCCACACATTTTACCAAAAAACAGCAGGCATTGACGCTTCACTACTGCTGCCGACTTGCTTCTGCGACACAAAGGCCCCCTGGACAGAAACGAAGCTTGCCCTATTTCATCGTCATTGGCGCTGAGAGACGGGGTCTCTCTAGGGATCTAAGCCGTAAATGTGCTCAAAGCATTACAATTAATACGCCCAGTTCCCTATAGGAAGAGAAGGAGAAAGACCAGTAAGAGTTGTTGATTGTATACAGAAACTCAGTGGTGGTCTGAAGTCTCGATGCGCGGCGGGCCCTGCCCCACAAGCACGTCTGTCTGCTAGCGTGCTTCGGGCGTGAATGCCTAAACGCCATGACAGAGCCAGTCACTGGCCGCTTGATCAGCTGCTTGGCCAATAAAGGGCTATGGTACTTGTGATTGGCTGTCCCAGAGGCAGAAAGAGGATTGCAATCACGTAACGGTTTGCGTGTCTAGCACCGGCGCTACACTTCTACGTCACTATGAATCAAGATAAGGAGTACATTAGACGCGATGAACATGCAACACCTCAGAAAACGCAGGATCTTCACCCTCAAAGGGCCATTATTTGTGGTGGACGGAAGTAAAAGGTGTAATCTATCAATAAAAGCTTGAGCAAAATCAGAATGTGGACAGAAACCTCCATATAGCCCAACCACGTCAAGTACATGGAGTTATTTAACCCAAGATATACAGCTAGACGTTACTAGCAAAGACTAGGGAGCCGAGAATGTTCATTTTTAGCTTATTAGCGGCCGGTAGTTAGCCCCACTCAACCCCAAGTGAGCGTGCATCAACCAAAATGCCATTGTTCCCGGTCTAAACCGGCAAGACAAAGGGCCTTTAGCGCAGTGGAGGGAAGTATCTGTCTTGTTTTTAAGTTAGTAAGTTGTAACTAAAGAGCAATTATATAGCCGAATCGTAAGGCGTAGCCTCGCGACTGACGGCTCGACCTTAGTAGCATTTTAAGTCACCGTATGGCTTTGTCGCCCCTCAGAGTAGATTAATTCAGGTGGGTGAAAATTCGATTGGCTGGTCGTAGAGCCCTGTGAAGGACAAAAAGTTTACCTTCAAGCTCTAACAACCTACTACCAATTTAAAAAGTTGGGGTAAAGTTTAGTTTTTCACTTCAGGCTGACAAGTCTCGATCATTTCAAACTAAGCAATACTAAGTAGGATGGAAGAAAGTGCCAAGGTACTTCAAAACTTACAAAAAGGCAACCCGAAAATCTACAGCGAGGTCATTTCAATCCCAAAACGGTAAGTTCTCAGTTGGACACCTTCAAATACGTACAATGACATGGATGTTGATGGAGGCAGTGGTGTGTAGGCGGAAGAGCCAACCGTGATGAAAGAAAAGGTGTGCGGTGTCATTTTACTATGCGGTTCGAACGAATGCGTACTTGTGCAAAAGGATGCATACGCATTATCTTGGTTGGCTTGGTCAG